CCACCATTATGAGGTTGAGTATCTTTCATACATTTAGGACTGCCCTGTATGATTTGTACACATCTTTGATGTATAGATGATTTGTATATTCAAATTATTCAGGTTTGTATCAATAGGATTTACATCTGGGTGTTAGCTACCACCATTGCGGGTTTTGCCTTTGTTCATTAAAGTGATTCAGTGTGCAGTTTTTGTGACTCAAACACACCTTCATCAAAAGCTAGTGGAAAAACTGAAAGGAGGATAGCCAAAGTTACAGTAGAATGGAAGTTTCCTGTCAATGATATGTCTTCTTTTCGTGACTAAGCAAAACAAAAAAGCAAAGTTTTGAACAATTCATTTCCATGCTTCCTGAACGCTGAGTGAAACAGCAATTTGTTCCTACTTTGCATTTGAAAACTCTGACAATTTTAGCACTGTAATGAATTAAAGAGCAACATCAAGGCGTAGAAAGTGAGTGAAAGGCTTTCACACATGGTGGAGGGACGACGCGAACATGAACGTTTGACGAGAATTGTGGGAGAATAAACATCAATTAGATCAGAATCTTTGCCTCTCATGGCACATAACAACACAGTAGGCCATTCTGTACTGGCAATCAGTATATTATGACGTTACATTATCGATGGATAACACAGATGAGTGAAACAAAAGTAAAAAAGACAATAACAAACATTTACATATATAATTACAAAGTATACAGTAATGAAATCGATGATAAAGTCGGTCAAACTAAAAACTTGAAATGCTGTGATTTAAGGAGAAGATGGATTTAAATCGTAGCAAAGTTGCAGTTTAGGTCAAGGGATTAGTTCGCGCAGTGATTGGTCCGCCGAGCATCACCCATCATCCTAAACACCCTACACCAAACGCGATGACTTTAGACAACATGACTCTGTAGTTTCAAAAATTCGTACATAAACCGGTTTCAGTGCACTTTTAAGAGTTGGATTAGAGCAATGTGCATGATTTCTTCTGCTTGAGTGGCTTTGGATTTATAACAGCTCGAACGGCGTCCTCGAACACCTTGATTGAAAAAGGAATTAATACTGCTTTATCATGTGTACAAGAAAAAAAGGAAGTGATGCGTACTTGTTTGAGGCCTTGTTGCGTGAGAGCTGAACATTCTAAGTACTTCACGGCCTTAATTTTCTGTGCACATTTCTGTCCCTGGCTTTTTGTTATAGGTGGCCTATCCTCAGAGCCAGTAGATTTAGGGTTTGCCTCGTCTCGCAGGTCCAACTTTGTACCTTAACAAGCTTACTATATGTCAAATATGGAAAACCTATGCACTAGGCATAAACACAGTCTGGTCTGGTGCAATTCTCCTCACAAGAATATAGAGGAGTAGAACAAAAAATTCTAGAAAAACATTCTCATGTTTCAAATAGTTAAACGCTGAATGCAAATGTTTGAAGGCAATAGAGTGCCCTGACAAATGCGGTATGGTTGCACTATGTATGGCTCATTAAAATCGTGATGACAAGTTTGACTTCGGTTTCTGCGCACACAGAAGCACAAAACGCCCGTACAAACAGGCATCACCTCAGCGTTTAGCTCATTCACTTCGTGTGTTTAAGCTAACACATATAAGCAGAAAAATCATTTCTAGTAAAGACAGAAACCAAAAATGGAGATGCGTGCGTGTCGCGTGCGATCGCGCAATCGTCACGACTTTTTATATACCCTATGGTATCACAGAAGGTCAGAGTAGACATTAGGTAAATTTTCAAGTATAAGCCCTAGCACGTTCTTCGAAGAGCATACGAAAGCAAAAGCGTAATGACTGCTCTTACCAACGAGAAGGATTGGCGCGTCTGGGCAGTGTTGACGTATCTCTGGGATCCATTTGGTCGCTACGTTGTCGAACGAAACAGGAGAGACAATACTGAAGCAGAGAACGAAAACGTCTGTTTGGGGATAACTCAGCGGTCTTAATCGATCATAATCCTCCTGAAAAGAATTCATTTCTAAAAGAATCTTGAACAGCTTCGCATTTATTAGTGATCTCCGCATGACATTCGCTCAGTATGCAAATATACAAGGCACATGTGATGTGAAAGAACACGCAGCTATCCATCATTTCAACATTTAGTTGCAAATGACTGTAAGCTGATACGCTTCACAAGATGAATCATGGACAA